GAGAGAGAGAAAAAGGAGAAAGAGAGAGAGAGAGAGAGAGAGAGAGAGAGAACGAACCAGAGTGGTGGTGCACACCTGGAATTCTGGCACTTAAGAGGCTAAGGCAGAATTTGGAATTTGAGGACAGTAACAGGTAGAGAGCAAGATATCACCCCCCCTCCAAAAATAAACCAGGTTTACACAGTGTAACTAGTCAAACTGGAAGACAGACTGAGGAGCCCGAGATTCAAAACCGAGCGTGTTGCCAAAGTTCTTGAAGAGGGTTGTTGAACCTGGGATGTCTTTTCATATTGCCCTTCCCATCCAGTCCCTCCTCCCTGGGCCTGGGCCTTCTCCTGGCCATATCCTACCAACACAACCTTGACTCCCCCTTCTGCCCCCACAAAGCTCTGGTTGACAGCACCTCTCCAGGTGCCCACCAACCCAGCGTTCTCTACAGGTGAGCATCAAGTTCCTCTTAAACCTTTCATACCTGGAGCTAAATCAGATGTCAAGGCAGGGCAGGAGGAGAGCTGGGAGCCCTGGCCAATTCCCACAGCATCCACCTCCATCAGAAGAGAGACAAACAAAACACTTTGCACACCAGTTTATTTTGGAGGAACACCTGGGGACTCAGGACAAGAGAGAGGCTGAGGCAGATTGGAAGTAGGGGAGTGTTTCGGGCATTGGCGAATAGGAAAAGTTCAGGATGAGGTCCCGTGACAGGAGAGCCAGGGAGGGCCCATGTGAGGGCCTGGTAGTTGTACTGGCTGAGCTCAGATAGAAATCCAGAGTGTGGCTGGACCCTAGCAGAGTCTTGCCCCGAGGATTGTCCTAATGCATGCTGATCTCTCTGTTTTGAGGGTTATTGCAGAAATCCCAGAAACAGCACTTCGAGTACCTCCAGAAGCCAAACACCGGGGAAGGGTGGGTGTGGGAGCAGTCACTCATCTGCTCCCTGCTTCGGCAGTCACTCACCATGACGTGAAAACCGCTGCCTGGGGAGGGACCGCAAGCACAAGTGACAAGGAGGTCCCCACACAGAGCCGCTGAATCCTCTCATCCTCTCATCCCCAGTCCCCTAGGTAACAGTGCCACCCTGACGCCCTGCCCTGGGCCAAAAGAAAGCCATGAGGATTGGGAGTAGGACGTGCCCAGTGAGCCAGTTACAAGGGCCAACAGGGTCCTCAGTTGTTGCTTGTGGGGAAAAGGGAGAGTAGCATCGTGGGACCACTAGGAACATGCTGTGGGGATGTATTGGAGGCTGGACTGCAGAAAAGTTGCTGTTTGTTTTCTAGATCAGAAGAGAGTAAAATGATGTCTCTGCTGTGATAGATGTTAGAAGGGGAAAAAACATCTGTGTGTGTGCCCATGTCCCAAGAAGTCATGCGCAGGGATGTTCACTGCTGCCCTGCCTATGATAGTAAGATGCCAAAAACCACCTAAGTGACTATCAGTAACGGAATGCACAAAGCAGATCTCACATGCTCTCTGCCATGGAGCAGTAGGCAGCAGCTAAACAGATCAGGAAGGCACTTTACAATTTGACTCAGAAGTCCCCATAACTGTCAAGTCTAAAAAGCAAGTACAGCTGGGCGTGGTGGCACAGGCCTGTAGTCCCAGCACTCGGGAGGGGCAAAGCTCTGAGTTCAAGGCCAGCCTGGTCTACACAGAGAGTTCCAGGACAGCTGGGGCTACGGGAGACCCTGTTTCAAAAAGACCAAAAAATAAATAAATAAATAAATAAAAAGCAAGTACAGAATGGTATTTGCTGTGGAATGCTTCTGTCTGGGGAACGGGAAGGGGAAGAGGGAGCACAGAAGCCTGAGGCAGGATAGCCAAGGAAGTCAAAGGAGGCTGGGTGCCTGCTCAGTGTTAAAGTGCTTGTCTAGTGTTAGGATGTTCAGTCACCAGCAGTAAGAAGAAAAGAGAGCGGCTTATAAAGGATCAGGCATGTATCTCAGTGGCAGGATGCTTACCTAGCAGGCACAAGTCCCTGGAGTCCCTGGATTCAAATGCCAGCAACACACACACACACACACACACAGAGGGTTGCGGGGGGTACATTGGAACCCAAAGGATTGGACAGGATTGAGAAGGAAGCTGACATCCTTGTATTGAATAATCGATGATTCTGAGGCCCTGTCTTTGCCTTAGCCATTTTAAACGTGTAATAATAGGTCTAGGGAGATGGCTAGGGAGATGGTTCAATCCCCAGCACTGCAAAAAATAAAATAAAAATTTGATTTGTGGGCATGCCTTTAATCCCAGCACTCCAGAAGCAGAGGCAGGCAGATCTCTGTGAGTTCAAGGCCAGCCTGGTCTACATAGAAAGTTCCAGGCCGGCTGGGTGTAGTGGTGCACGCCTTTAATCCCAGCACTTGGGAGGCAGAGGCAGGCAGATCTCTGTGAGTTCAAGGCCAG